AAAACTGGCATCCATTTTATTCGTAACAGAGCGACTGGAGCAAAATACACCTTTAACATCAAAATTTCCGGGCTGAGAACGCTTAAACCAAATTTATGCTACTCTCACAGAAACTGCACTAGGTTCATAAACGTCAAAAATCTTTTTCGCGGCTTACATTGCATTTTTACCTTTTTATAATAAAATTTTATAATGTATCTAAGTTCTTCATTAGACTTACTCATTTTAACAATAAGAAAAAACAATTAAAAATTACACATTTTCCTAATTTGAATTCAAAGTTTTCTTTAAAATTTATTTTTTTTAATGATACCGAAACCAGCCATATAGAAATGGTATAGCCTTATATTTGAGTAGATTTTATTACAACTTTATGCATACTATATGCGAAAAGATTTTCCCCAACCTAACAGTTATCATGCATAGAAATTATTTTATTGATATTATTCCCAGTTAGACGCAATCGTTTAGCCGTTTTAGTAAGGCCAGCTCCAGAGACGGGTTAGCTAGTGTAGACATAAGGGTTAAGCTGGAAACAAATTATCGGACGCGGCTAACAGCCGCGACTTATAAGTTTGCACAGTCTTCAAGGACGTGGCTTGCGGACGCGTTTCGATGCCTATTCCACTAAGAACTGTTGACGAAGAAACATGTCGAGTAGTGAAAGTGAGGACGAATTTTTCGAATTAGCGGCAGCAGCTTTATGTTGTCCAGCCAGAAAGTACGTCCACGTTTGGTTCCATGACATAGATAAAGAAAGAACGGAGTGTGGTGAATTTCACACTTTGTATCCACAATTATTAAGAGATGAATGTCGCTATAAACTTTATTTGAGAATGAATGAGGATCAATTTAATTTTTTGCTAAATCTAATCGAAAACGAACAACAATCAACACAGTTTCGTACTCCTATATGTTTTTTTTATAACATCTTTATAATCCTTCAATTTAGGATGATAAAGTAATTCTTTGTTGCGAACACACTATATATAATTCGTTTCTCCATTTTTAACGCACGTGGACACGTGGAATCTCTCGCGTCGTCAGCGTCCTTCTGATGCAAGGACGCGTCCCGCACCCCGTGCATACCGTCCGCGGACGTTTTCGGCTGATAAAAACATCCAGCGAGCCAGATTCCTGTCGGACGTCCGAAGGCTGAAGGTCAGCCCAAGGTTACGTCCACGACTTACATCCGATAGTCTGAACAGCTTAGTGTACATTCATTACGTAGATGCCTATAAGTCGCGGCTGACAGCCGCGTCCGTCAGCCGCGTCCGATAATTTGTTTCCAGCTTTAATTGTACAATTTTGTTGACAGCTGTAATTAAAGAAGAAAGATTCGACTGTTTATTTGTTTGCATTATTGACTTTACTTTTGTATTCATTAAAATTTTACTAGATATGGAATACGGAACGGAATTAACATGTGCCGCAGAGAATTCACTACGTTGCTTAGCAACCGAGCGAACGAATGTTACTCGCAGTTTGTGCCATCCCGCGCCGTTTACACCGATCTTTCTAACCGGTCAGCGGCGGCATCGGTCATCGGCACGGCGCAGCGCACACGTCTACCTCATTCTTAAAATCGTGCGAGACAAATTGTGGGCCATTGTCTGAAACAATAATTTGTGGTAGCCCAAATGTGACAAATATGTCGTCTAGGACCAAGCATAAATCTCTAGTAGTTATGCGTTTCATTGGTTTAACTTCCACCCATTTAGATAATGCATCACAAATAATTAGCCAATATGTATCGTCATATGGTCCAGCGAAATCGATGTGTATTCTTTCCGGAGACATGCTGACCACATACGCTTAAGAGTGCCATCACCGGAGCAACATTCACCCTCTATGGACATTGTACCGTCATCATCTCCATTTGTACATCCTTCATCGGCCATGTCTACATCAAATACTCCTCTCCAGTCATCACCATTACCTGTTACTACCGACCTGCAGCTGCACATATCGTAGAACCCGCACCAACTGTGCCAGTCCTATAATCTACTTCAGCTGAACCAGTGCTGCCTCTGCACTGTAGCCAACGTATAGTACGTCCCCCTCGAAGACTACCGAGATCTAATTACCGAGATGTGAGGGAGGACGAATGTTATAATAACTCTTTTGTATTGACATCTTGTTTATTTCCTTTTTATGTAAGAGTGACATATGACATCTTTCAGTTAATGAAAAGTCTTACATTGTGAATATGTTATTTTATTTATAAAATATTTATATTATTTTTAATTCAGCATAGACTGAATTGACTTTGATATTTATATTAATATCGTTCGAAGTGTGGATACATAATGACACATAAGAAAATATTGCACATATAAAACAAGCTGAATTCTGCGCTTCGCTTTTTGTTCTTCATTCCAAACCTGAATTCGAACGAATCGGAATATAATAAGTTGGCACATCACTAACGTTGACATATAAACTAAACATCGTTCCTTTACACGTAACATAATAAATAACTTAAACTTACTATTGAAATAAATAAAAATTAATTTGAAAGTTAGATATTATAAGAAACACAAAACGATGTCATATTTATTAATTTTCAATGCTCAAATTACTTTTATAACGTCAGAAAGAAAATTTTAATGAATATCACAGACAATTATCCGTAAATCGCTAGTGATATCTAGTTTTATTTCACAGACTAATTTTTATTTTTTAAATACTTCTATAGCGCGAGTTTGATAATGGCCCTTGAGACAGAAAACACGCTATTATAACTTACAAATTGTTTAATAAAACTGAAATACAATTAAAATAACTAAACTGTAATCTTACCACAAGCTTGTAAAAAATATATTTAAATTCTTACATGGCGTCTAAAAGACAGAACCAAATACAATAGACTTCATAATAAAATAGATTAGAAAAAAGGTCAAGAGTGAGTTCTACACTTTTACACAGATAATATATTAAACATAACGAGACGGTACACGGACTGTTCGCCCAGATCTAGTAAGACACGGACGTAGTGCTTCACTTCTTCATTAAAAAAGCTACGTCATGATATTATTGAGTATCAAATAAAAATACTACTTTTTATAATTTCGTAGGTAGCATAATGAAAAAAAATATGGCAGCACAAATTGTCGGATCTAAACGTCAAGTCATGACGTTAAACCAAAGAGAATAGAATTATCAGTGTTATTATGGATCTGATAACTTGGATTGATATTGAGTTGAAATTTAATTAGTTCGAGCTATGCAAACGCAACTCGTTTAATACAAAGTAATCTTTGAATAAATTTATTTTTTATTTGAGTAGAGGAAAATGGAAACTAACATAATGAAAGTGAGCACAGAGGTTTTTATTTAAATCAATTGAATTAATGCTGTAATATAATTAAAAGTGGCTTTTTTATTTAGCTAAGGTATACAATAATATTACCGCCAAATTGTTTTTATAAATAAAATACTTATACCATAGAAGGTGTAGGATTTTTCATTACAGTATTTTAAAACTAAAAAAAAATAACAACTAGGTAAGTTAGTTTTATTGCTATTAGTTGTTTGTTGAATTTACAAAAACAAAACTACATCAAGTCTCAATAATATTTTTTAATTATGTATGGTGAATGAATGAATAGGGTTTATTAATCAGCAACAAAAGTCATAAAAACGATAATTATAATAAAAGATCCTTCTATTACCTATATACTTACCCGATATGAATCAAATATACTAGGTATTCGTACAAAATAACATGACCTCTGGCTAAAATTACATTTGTGCAAAGTGTAACGTGCAAATAACCTGTGCTTTCGAAATTAAAACTTTAAAAAACTATCATTAATTATTAAATCTTATACTCATAATTAAATCATCTTAATAAAGATTTAGCAATCAACAAGAAACATCTGTTCTAAACGAACAGCAAGGTCATAACTTTAAATTTCAAAATCACAAAGACACGTACAGTTATTATACTATTGCTACTGAGCTTGCCATGTTTTAAGTTAATTCGTATGGTGGGTATGTGCTTTTTGGTTCTTACAATAATATTGTTAATAATAGATTGACTTCCTACACAACCTACTCTAGAAATCAGTTATGCTCTCATAAAATCTCTGCGATGATGTCGTGTGCGTTAGATCGTAACGTTCCCTCAAATATAGTATAGTTGAGTTATATACATAGTTGAAATTAAAAAATCAGTCCTTGCTGAGTTTCTTGCCAATTCTTGTCAGTACAAGATCTCCCGCCTTAGTTTTGCGAACCATTGGCAAAGTTTTCGACTTTCACAAGTACTATGTAACAGCCTAGACTGAATTGATTTTTTATATTTTTATATTAATATCATTAAACAAACACAAGCTGAATTCTGCGCACCGCTTTTTGTTCTTCATTCCAAATCTGAATTCGGATGAAGTTACGAGTAACCAATAAGTCGGTTCATCACTAATGTTGACGTATCAACCAAACATCGTTCCTTTACACGTAACATAATAAACAACTTAAACTTACGATTAAAATAAATTAAAATTAATTTGAAAGTTAGATATTATAACGCACACAAAACGATGTCATATTTATTAATTTTCGATACTCAATTTACTTTCATTACATGGGAAACAAAATGGTTTTAAAGTAGAATCGTGTCCGAATCTTATATATATAAAAGATGACTAAATATTATTAATTTCCATTCCATATTATTGTTAATGTTAGCAGGAGTTTATAGTATGTCCTATTATATTTTTTTCAAATTAAAAACAGAAAGAACTTCATGCGAGACAACAAGTTAACATGCTACTAAATAATTAAAAAAAAAATATAACGCGGGAATTTTAGAAAAATTGAGTTTATTTTAATTTATATTAACTATTTCATAGTTTTCAATTTACTTACACAACTAAAACAAGTAAGTTTATTTCAAAATATATTTTACAATGCTAGATCGAATTGATTTTAATGTTCCGAGTCGAGTTCCGAGACAGCGATACTGTCAATGTAGTGTAGTACGTACAGGTCTATACATACACATGTAGGTCATCCAAAAAATGGCTTAGCACCGAAAGCTCGTATGTATCGTGGCAAAGAATAACTTTAATTTAAATGGCCTTCAGTGATTTATGTCACATAAGTAATGCGTACAAAACCGTCGAAAATGAACCAGATCAGGTAAGTTGTGATCTATCAGAGATTCGTGTCCAATGGGTGTAGTAAAATGCCTTGGCCTGTCAGATGTACCTCAAATCCGGGAAAATATTCATTCACGTCATTACAGCAGAAAAGTGTTTGTTTTTATCACTGATAGACCTTACAATGTGTTTGTTATTAATGTAATAAGTTTGTGTGATTAAATCTGTGTGGTGTTGGTGTGTTTTTCCTTATGAGTTATGACTTTTAATTCTGACATCTGAAGAATGCACACAATATTTTTAGAATAATGTAGATTGCACTTTAGAGGACACAATAACAAGGTAACGAAAGAATTCTACATACATATTACACAAGATTTCATAATGGTCTTTTAAATGTAACAAAATTATTGGAATCTTATTAGATAATATTGCTTATATGACAAACAATATGCTAAAGGTTATTCCTACTTTCTCTAAGTAGTAGTGTTCATTGGAAGTCCTCCATCATATGTACTTGATATTATGACATTGCATTACACATTTACTTACAGTTTAAAGGATCAAAATTTATGTTTAACAATGTTTAAATGTAATGCATATGTGAATACATTCAGCTGAATATAAATAATATTGATTTTGAACATAACTCTTTTCATGACATTAACAATTTAAAGAATCAATTTTCCAAATGTTCTGACACAATTGAAATTATCTGATTTCCAACGGAACAGTACATTATTGATTCTTGATCATGACCTTGATTTTGTTTGATGTGGGATATCATACATTTTGTCTTAAACTTTTTGAATATTAAGGATTGTAATGTTAGATTCTTATCAGCTAATTCTGTTAAAATAATTAAAATTAATTATTCGCATTAAATCTGTGTCATTATTAAAAATATAGAGTTTTTATATCACTCAGATAATGTTTTGTTATTATCTTCTTGCCATGAAAAACATATTAAGCAAGTTTATATTAAATACATAATGTACCTACAATTGTTATTTTATTAAGTATATTTACATTGTTTATTGGCATTGAAATGTCAATTCAAATTTGTCTATTTATTTACAAGTGTTTAGTTGCAGTTGTCTATAATGTAAAAGTCAAGGTAATGAAACAAACATAACAAAACTTTTAATTTTAAAGGAGCTATCAAAATTGAATAACTTATACATTTGAAAACATTATAAGATTATTATCAATTAACCTCATAAATGTTTAAAAACACTACACTGTTGTTCTTATAGAAAAAGAAAATTCATCAATTTGCAATGAAAAATTACAATTTAATTTGTAATTTTTGCATTGTTTGAACACTCAGGAAGGCATTTTTTTACAACTTTTCACAGAAAATTATGAGTGAAAATGACATTAGCCACAATCTGTGCTGAAACATGACAAAAGTGAAACTCAGGCAATTGCCTTGCTTTCTTGTTGTCAATGTTGTGCGCAGATTACCCATCTTAACTTTTTAATACATCATTGGTTATTATAGTTTAATATTGCAACTGTTTTGGCTTCATTATGTTGGCAAAGTATTACATGAGTACTCTTTGTTATTTATACATTTCTTTTATTTTCATGCCACAGGTGCAAGTAACAATAGAAAAAGTCTTGAAATAATTATTGTATGATTACTGGTTAGTTGTAAATACAAAATTTTTAAACATTCGCAATGTGGCATTTATATGAAATTATCACTATTTCTTACAGTCGGAACGCATTATGGAAGAAAACTCAATGGTCCGGGATCTTATCACCAAGATTCTTGATGAGACTGGGCCCTCAGAAAGCAGCAGGTAAATACTAATATGGATTTGTTTTATTATCAGTAGGCACAATTTTGCATAAAATAATATTTTGCACCAAGTTTTTTTTTCCAAATTATTGTAATTATTTTTCATTTAGTATACCTAAAGTCTATTTATATGCATTTCACAGACTTAAAATATTTTATATGAATTTACTATAATTATCATGTTCTTTTCTTTGTTTTTTATTTTATCTGCAATCAGTTTTATACACATTTTTTATTACAGAGTCTATTAATTAATTTGACATAAGTTTCCATGGGTCATTTAAAATAATGTTACATAGTTTAGTTACTATGGACCCTGTTGAGTACAACAGTCATTGAAAAGAGGAGCACTAGTTTTTATTATTGTAGTTTATAAATAAACAAATAATACATAATTATAAATTATAATTTAAACATAAATTTATTATATTCTTATATTTGGTATTATTGCTAATTGTTGGTAATCATCCATTCATTCATTCTAAATATATATTAATTACTTCTATATAAAATAGGTATCATATTTTATTTAATTAAATTTACTTATTATAAATATTCCAATATTTTATAAGAGCTCTTATTAATGAGTAATTATTTTAAATTATCAATATTTTTTTTGTCATGTTTAATGTCTTTATATATATTGGGCAACTTGTTATCAATTTTTATTTGCATGATTAATGGGTTTGAAGAATGATGTTTCATTTTAGAAGGTGGTAGCATTATTTATTTACACTTCCACAAAATGTAATGGAAATGACTTTTTGCAATGAAATTTTATAGTATAATGAACTTTATGTTAATTGTAAGACATACAAACAAAATGCAAGCCAAAAAGTCGCGCTTCTTCGGGGTATTCCATTCTATTCCACGGCGGTGTAAATTCAGCTTAAAACAAAGCAGACTTCTTTAAAACAAACAAGAAAAAAATAATAATTAAAAATATTGAAATTTTTATAGAATATTATTTCATGGAAAACAGGCAACAATGATATTTCATACAGTATTATCAACTTGTTTTTGAGTTAGGAATAATGTGTAATTTATACCACTGTTATTAGATCCATTGCATTAGTAGAGTAAATGTGGTATAATAATTTATGATGTTTCTCTATTAAACATTTACTATGATTAAGCAGCGAAGTTTATTTTGTCAATTTTTCAGCTCTATCCAACCACCGGAAAAAGCTTTAAGCATACTGCCCACTTCCGCCTCTTACCCCAAGAGCGAATCGAACAACTCATTCATGCCACCGTCTTATAATTACCAGAACAATTTGTACAACTTCCCCCAAAATGACCAAAATGGTTTCAACTTCATGCAGAACGGATTTGGTGGAACAAACTTTGTCAATTATCCGGACAACGATGTCAACACGTTGCTTGGCATCGATACAGTCACAGATACCGGTTCCGACGTAACACCGGAACAACTAAATTTGCTCAGACTTGCAGCTCAAGAGATAGGTGGCGCCCAATTCTCGAGTCCGAAGTACGATGATAATAAGTATTATAATTTTTTCGAACCGAGCCAAAGAAATTCGCTACCTGAATCGAATATGTATTCGATGAACAATTACAACAGACCCAACAGTCTCAATTTGGACATGAATTACAATAACTACGAGAATACGTTCAATAATGCTCAAAGATATCCTAATAATGGTTTCAAAGAGACGAATCCAGAAGGCGATTTGCTAAGCTACTTAAATCACTTGAACATATCCATGGATAGATCTCGGGAAGAGAATCTTATGCAGAACAATATGGACTTCAAACTGCACGATAACAACCATTATCCGAATGAAGACTTCAATAAAATGCAAGATAAGATGTTCTATAATAGGGGTTACCAGCAAATGCCTCCGAAAAACTTCTCTGGTGACAACTTTTACGATATGATGTCGCAAATGAACGAACGCAGTCCAATGGGTCAGAATTTTGAGTTCCCCAATCAATCGACGCCTGTTTCTGGATCGAATGCGATGAACTTCAAACCGAACGGTTTTCACCAAAACGAGTTTATGCAAAGACGTGACATGAATCCTATTATGCCCCGTGATAATTTCCAATCGAATGGCTTGAACGAACAGCGTACGAATTTCGAGAATCCATTGGGTGGCAACAATCAGGCGTTGTTAAGGCAGAACCAGGAGTTGGCGAGACAGATGAGTTTGTTGATGAGAACTCGCCCGCCACCTCCGAACCAGTTAAACGTTGACGTGTCGTTTCTGCATGAGAATACACCTTTTAATCTTGGTGAGTTTCTTTATTTGCTTATTTTAAAACTAGTTAAATAGCATATAATGGATATCTGTCACAACAAATTTATTTAAACTAGAAGGTTGTCCAGAAACTATAACCAAAAAAATTTGTTGTTTAACTTTCTTGATTTTAGACTCTATATCAAACTAAAAAGCTTAACGCAAACCAGAACGAACATTTTGTTTTCGAAGTATAAGGCCAGACTGCAAGCTTGACGACATATAGTCCCCTCAAGTCTTCTATTTGATAATTTTGTTTTATCAATAATATTATTCAATAATTGATAGGTTTAGGCGCATTAATAGGTCCGAGTCCACCAGTACCACCGCCTGTGTTACCATCGCCGATGTTGGACATGCCGCTACTTGCACCGTTCTATGCCATGAGGAATATGAGGTTAGTGTACGCTTGAGAAGGATATGAGAAAATAATAAAGTGCAATAATAGTAATATTCGAAAATACAGGTATATTGGCAATTTCTTCTCTTACACATGTGGTTTTTTGCAATTCAAATAAAAATTTTTGTTCTTCCGCATAGCAGTAAAGTTCTCAGAGTAAAATTCAGCTATTAAATTGTCCAGTCCTTTCCATATATTCAGCTCATGTGAGATATTTTTAATAATGGTGTAATAATGGCATAAATTTTACGCAAATGTAACGTGCTCCGATTTGAAATAAACATTTATAAGATTATTTCTCATTGTATAATTGAAATCAGGGGTGCAGCAACATCATCGGGAATACTCCACGCTCGCTTGGACGCTTGCTACGAGCAATGGAGGCAGTTAGAGCGTGAGAGGAAGCGTACAGAGGCAAGACTCGCTCTTGCTTACCCAGGCCGGGCAGTATCGTCATCAAATTCCATACCCGTTCCCAGATTGCCGCCTTGCCCTACAAGGGTCGATAGGCTTACAGTGGATATGCTCAGGGAACATACTAAGGTATGATGTGATATTAATGTTAATAATGGGTCAAAACAGATGTAGAAAATATATACACGACTCTGCAAAAGTAGTTTATACTTAATGACGATAGTAGCATACCTATATTATTAATCAGAGTTAGATTTTTTATTTAATTGAAGATTTTCTTTGCAAAAGTAACTTAAACTATGTGCTATAGTTGAATGAATAGTGTTGTTTTTCATTCAATAGACTAGGTGCATCTATTTTTGTAATTATACATATATACTGCCGTAATATGGATAGTCCTGTGATCGTAAATTTAAATGTAAATTGTTAATTTATGAAATATACTTTTGATAAATTTCTTTGAGTTTAAAAAATCCAGCCAAATTATAAAATTATTTTGTCATAGTTCTGGATATGAAATCTTAAAACCCTGAGCCCTATCCATATCCATGAACACAACATCTATTCTATTTCAATGTCTGTTTTTAGAATACATATATTCGGTGTTTAACTCATCCTCTTTGAAATTTTAAAGTTCGAAGTTTCATGTTTCATATTCGTCAAGAAATATAAAATGCATCTTAAAAGTACCGTATGATGCGCAATGTCCATCCAATTATAATTGATTATTTTATAGTAAATCTCGGAAATACAGCTCACATTTCAATACCTTAGTCGTAATTCATTGATTCTCCATGTCAGGTATTAACTCTCATGGGTAAAATGGAAACGCTGCGTGCGAGCGTTTGCGTGGCACAGAACAAAAAGCCGATGAAATCTGAAGACCCCAAGATCACAGTCCTCAAACGGGGGCAAGAGAATGTTGCTAACGAGAAAGAGACAGACAATGGTGTTGATCCGGCGACCTTTGACCCGAGCACTTGGCGAGAAGACGTCAAGAATTTGGCCGAAATGTGAGATCTTTTTTTAATATTTTTTTTTAACATAATTCGATACAGTTAAGTTAGATTCATAATCGATTTTACAAGCGAAAATACTAACTACACACTGTATAGTCTTTGTATTTTTTTGTTATTATGTAATTAATAGGCGAAGTACTAGTATATTATGTAGATCTTCCTAAGATATTATTACTGAGATGAATTGAAAGAACAATATGTGCAGACTTTAGTTTGCTTTTAGACGAATTGAAAACTTTTGTGGTGCTGCCGCGCGGATTCGGAACTTGATAAAAGTTAAATATTTTGGTCTATTCTATAGTCTGTGTATATGGGGTGGCAGTACGTTACAACGCAAAAAAATTAAACATGCAGTCGCCCGGATTGCGAAAGATCTTTTCGATTCCCATCTCAGAGTGCCAGAAACAAAGTGGAACTTTTAAGCATTTTTCATTTAGAATACATTCATTTCTTATTAAAATGCCTGTTGCTTTCAATTTGAAAGACTGGAATAGGGGAGAATGTATGGGAGTAACAGTCTTAAGTACAATGTTTCTGTAAATAGAAATAAGCAAGCAACCTTTGCAATTTAGTGATGTGATTTGCCCTTATAAATTTATAGTCGAGTATATAACGTGTATAAGAGCTAAATTGGCATTTTAAATAAATATAAATAAACTGAAGACGTTAATTAAAGACGCAGCACACGTGTTTTGGTTGTATAGCTTGGTTGCTCTCATGGTACGATTGAAAATCTTCTGCATACATTAGGAAAGTCTTACAAATTTGGCGTTTAGGTACTGCATCAGCTGACCAAGAATCAACTCGCTTACCGTGCAGTTATGTGTACATCTAATACTTATTATTTCTTCGTACAATTAATTGGCTAGACCATCTCGGCACTGGAGGCGAAAAGTGGGTTATGTGTGTTAACCATACATGCAAGCGCCAGTGGCTAGGCCGCAACGAACCAGGCAAACCTATGTCAAAAAAGATCTTCATCCTCGCAAAGTTATGCTCTCGGCATGTTGGGATGTACTTGGAGTAATAAACTGGGAAATTCTTCCTACCAATACCACGATCACAGCGAACGTGTACTGTAATCAACTCGATAATCTGAAGCTTGAACTACATCGTAAGCAGCCACAACATGACAAAATATTTTTCTTCCATGATAATTTTCTGCATATCGCTAATAGTACCCGACAGAAACTATTGGAGCTCAACTGGGAAATAGTTCCACATCCTCCGTATTCACCTAACTCACCGTCAACAGATTTTAATTTATTCCGCTCACTTAGTAAACATTTGCGTGAAAAAAGCTTTCATTATGAACCCCAGTTACAACAGTACAGAGATAAGTTTTTGAAATCCAAACCAGCAAAGTTTTACAGAGACGCAATCCAATCTTTTCCTAATAGCTGGCGTACAGTGGTAAATAACGTCGGTGATTACATTCTAAATGAATAACTAAATAAAGAAATATAAATTTAAGTTACGCGTGTCGCTCATTATTTACTAGCCAACTCGATACAATGTTCATTCGTTAAGATATTGATTATATCCATACTGTACCTAATGGTTTATGTAAGCTTCCCAAACATATAATAAAATATATTATAGCTTAGTAATCTTAGTATTAACTAACGTTTTTAACGTGTTAAGAAATTACGACGCATAGAGTACTCGGTGACCATGATGCGGACCGGTTTTTTGTAGGTTCGTTTTTAATGGCCGCATTCTAGTATAAAATATTGGAAGACAATTTTTATTTTCTTTAATAATATTTTGAATTATTTCCTCATTAATTTTTTTTATTAAAGATAGTTATTTATAAATAATTAAAAAAAAAAAGTTTTCCTGTGATATTTACTTTACCATACACAATATAGCTTAGTAATCTTAGTATTAACTAACGTTTTGTTTATCGCAGTGCTCCTCATAGTGAAGTGGAGAGTGCGATGTTATCGTGGCGTAGTGCTGTGGGCGCGGTACAAGCAGCGAGACGACGCGAGTTGGCGCCGCACGCGGGAAGATATATGAGACAAGATCGTGAGTATTATGTACACTTATGATATAAACGTGCACCGATTGCAAACTATTGCAATAATGTAAATGTAGAACTGAGCTTTAAGAACATACACAAAAATCAAATCGGGCACTAAAATCAGGAAGGTACAAGTCAAACAAGTATCTTTGCTTTTTACAAGTCCAAAATCTGGACACTATTTTAAAAGTCACTAAAATTAAGCATTTTTGTCCGATTTATGGAAGAAATTAGTACCTGTATTAACTGAACTTTAATAAAAAAGGTAACACTTTTGTTTATAATTATAGGCTATTTTCTCTATACTGACTGGATTTCAAAAATTTTTGAGTCTTTTGTAAGTCTTATAATTCAAAATCACATGAAACAAAACATAACATAACATCAGCATGGTTTTGTGACAGATTGTTCAACATGCACTAAGTTTCATTTTATAAAATTTTAGTAGAACTAATCGACTCGTATAATCAAATAAATGTAATATATACAGAGCTGAGTAAATCATTTGATTGAGTTTCTTACAATTTATGGGTTACTGGTACACTTTTGAATTGAAGTTCGTTATATTCCAGATGGGGAAAAATCATGTTCACATTAGTTACCATACTAGTAAACAAGGATGTCCTTCAATTAAAGTCAAACTCATTTAAACATCTTGATAGATTATTTTCTAAGGACGTCCTCTATTTTATATAATTTAAGATTAGCTCAACATCAACCCCATTTCAATAGTTTGACCTACTCAAGATTTGGCAGTATTGCTTAGATCCTTCGCCTGTCATACATCATCATAATCAAAGAATTCCGTTTTGATTATCTACATTTTTAAAGATATAAAATGTTAAACTATTAAACCACTCCTTTATATTTAACTTAAACTTGAAATTAAATAATACAATTGAATGTTATAAGATTAATTAACTCGGAAGTTACGAAAATAATAGATTTTTCTTAAAATAAGAAATTACGACGCATAGAGTACTCGGTGACCATGATTCGGACCGGTTTTTTTATAGGTTCGTTTTTAATGGTCGCATTCTGGTATAAAATATTGGAAGACAATTTTTATTTTCTTTAAAAATATTTTTAATTAGTTCCTCATTAACATTTTTTATTAAAGATAGTTATATATAAATAAAAAAATAAAAAACCGTTTTCCTTTGATATATTACTTTACCATACACAATGATTGCTTACCGAGGTGAGTAAAATTGTATAGAAATATAATATACATATAAAACAGTCATATCAATCTGATTTCAGAATAAATAATACCGGTGTTCCTCAAGGAAGTATACTTGGGCCACTACTTTTTCTGGTATACGTAAACGATTTGCCGCGTAGCACAAACAATAAATGCATAATGTTCGCAGATGACACAACAATTGTTATTAAATGTGATAATACTAATAGTGACACATTTGAATGTAAAATAACCTCAGCACTATCAGACATTACTAAATGGTTGGATTCAAATGATTTAAAGTTGAATTTTCGCTTAATTCAGTTTAGATCATACAATTCAAACCCTATTCATTTAAAAATTAATTTCGGAAATGACGTAATAGAAGAAGTAGATTCAATACGTTTTCTTGGAATCATTATTGACAAACATCTTAATTGGAAGCAGCATATTGACCATGTATGTGGAAAACTTAACCGGTTTGTATTCGCCATAAAGAAACTGAAACAAACAGTTTCTGTTGAAGCTGCCTTAACAGCATATCATGGTTATGTGTCATCAGTTTTAAGTTACGGCCTGATACTTTGGGGAGCCTCTGTAGATCTAAACAGAGTTTTTAAAATTCAAAAGAAGTGTGTTCGTGTTATGTGTAATGCTTGGTTCGATGATAGCTGTAAGCCACTTTTCAAAAAGCTTAATATTTTGCCTCTACCTTGTATGTACATAAAAGATATCTGTGTATTTGTTCACTCTCATTCCAATTACTGGAGTAAACGTGTGGACATTATTCCGAGACAAACTAGACGAAAATATAGAAACCTGTTGTATCAGCCTCCTTGTCTTAAAAACAATATTTACAATAAATGTGCATAATTTTATATAACAATTTGCCAGATGACATGAAACTGTTAAACATGAATCAATTTAAACTAAAACTGACAAAGTGGCTTCTAGAACACTGCTTTTATAGCGTTAAAGACTTTTTAGCTTTAAAAAAAATCCATGACAATGATAATATATAATAATAATTTGTAATTTTATGAGATGTTTGATATATAATATGATAATAAAAAATGTAATAAGTTAATAATATAATAACAATATTTGCACGCCTGTCCGCAGGCAGAATACTGTACTTGTCTGATTATTTGTGACCTCAATGACTTGTGTTCTGGCAAATAAAGATCTTATCTTATCTATCTCAATGTTGACAGGTCGGAATTTAATGTTCTTCTTTTAGGTGATTCTATCTTCTTATTTGGTCTCCTGTGGCCACGTTATTTATAATCATAGTACACTTATGAGTTTTGGTTTTTGTTTCGCCTTCATATTCTTTACATGTACTGGAGCACCAGCATCAACAACAACATATTTTTTATATATATCGGCTTTTCATTTTAAGCAGACTATCGGTCGACCGCCTCTTTACATTTTATATGGGCGCGTATGTAATATTTTCCAAATAAATTTCATAAAATTTATGTTGTTAAATATTTATAAATTAAAATGGTTCATATTTTTCGAACATATGACAGAAACCTGTATTTTCACTTGAAAGACAACCCATCTCCTTTAAAATGATAATCTGTATCCCTAGCTTTCGAACTCATAGGTATCACTTAAACATGTGCATGTTTCGGTAGTTCCCCATTGGGATAGCCTTCTATCGAATTATATTCATTAGTTTGAATTTCTATACCGGAAAGCTGTCTCGATTTTGAAGTAGGTGATTTGAAGTAGACAAAGAATTTCTATATTGGCATAATGTACTAGATGTACCTGATAAATATCCGTTCGCAGAAGTCATATTAATGTATGAAGTTACAAAGTAAACGTTTTTAAAACATAGAATTTACAATTATATTTTTGATAAAAGAGTAATTTCTATTTGACCAGGAACAATTTACATAACAGACTCTCCTTGCAGCATTGTCAGTTTTCCTAGCCTCTTCTGGTCCACAGAACTCATTATACACGTGATACTTCCCTTAATAAAGAGATACTATAATTTTCGGATTTATATAACAAAAACTAACTGTATTTATAATACCGTCGTCTTGAATCACTCTGTATATTGATGAAATCGCGTTAAAATCTATTGTGTTAAAAAAGATCTCAGTGTACAGAAGGCGAGAGCGACCTTGTTTTATATCATTAACATCATACATAGGTATAGATAGTTTGTTTTAATGTTGTGAGTTTTTTCATATGAAACGTGTTTCCGTATGTTGTGCAGCTATCCTGCAGCTGGCGGAGGCAGTGAAGCAGCTGGGCGTGTGCGCGCGACGCGCCCGGTGCGCCATGTGGTGCGACCTCACGCTCACCGTCGCGCTCGCGCCCCACCCGCCCCACACCGATCACCACCAGGTCAGTCGATACATACACTGACACTTAGGTGGTGCGACCTCACGCTCACCGTCGCGCTCGCGCCCCACCCGCCCCACACCGCCCACCACCAGGTCAGTCGATACATACACTGACACTTAGGTGGTGCGACCTCACGCTGACCGTCGCGCTCGCGCCCCACCCGCCCCACACCGCCCACCACCAGGTCAGTCGATACATACACTGACACTTAGGTGGTGCGACCTCACGCTCACCGTCGCGCTCGCGCCCCACCAGCCCCACACCGCCCACCACCAGGTCAGTCGATACATACACTGACACTTAGGTGGTGCGACCTCACGCTCACCGTCGCGCTCGCGCCCCACCCGCCCCACACCGCCCACCACCAGGTCAGTCGATACATACACTGACACTTAGGTGGTGCGACCTCACGCTCACCGTCGCGCTCGCGCCCCACCCGCCCCACACCGCCCACCACCAGGTCAGTCGATACATAGGGGAAGAGAGACAAATTGTGAAAAGTTCAAACTGCGCTTCTTCATTGTATTTACTGTTATTTTCAATTAAAGGATTTAGCCCACATAATCTAATCAAAGATTACATATTTTCTCTTAAATATGGATATAGGTATAGATGATATTCACATATTATAAATTTTGCTATCAGTTTACGTTTGCAAAGCCAATGGTAATTGGTAATTTCTTTAAATTTATAAAATAAATCACCAGTGATAAGAAGAACAATGTTATTATTGATTATATGCAAATGTCATTATAATACCAAGACAGGTTTATTCATAGCCACGTTATCATGACAGTTGTCGCCATATTGTCTCGTACAATGCATCAACGTGGGGCATACCAATAACATATTTCAAAAATATTATTTATTTCACAATATAATACAAAACTGAATGGTACTGTGACACTGGCACAGTTTATATCTACTCACGCTCACTCTAGAACCCTAAATACTGAAAATTATTGTAATTTTAGAGTGAGACTTCGTCCCAGTCTTCGGTGCAATCGACGCCTTCAAAGCCGATCCAGGAAGTCGCTGCAAGTAACTCTACTCCGAGTTCCTCAAAAGCGTCCCAGTCTGATACTAAAGAGGTAAGTTTATAGAATCTAATGAATTAACCACTGTTTATTTAAAACCTAAAGTAGCAGCAAATTTAGAAAATATTGGATTTACGTTATATATGACATTGATTTTGTAAACTTTATTGTCTTATAACCAGAGGTCGGAATTAGGTAGAGTTATTTATGTACTTGCATCGAAATGTTGATATTAATGTGGACCTTCTTGGGATTTCTTTATTTCTTCTTTCTTTATTTCTTTCTTTCATTGATGTAAGTTTGGCAACGTCGTGCGTGCAGTAGTTTAAATTGTGTAAAAGTAAACAACTTTTTAAAAAAAATCACGGGATTTTTTCTGCTCTTTAAAATTAATCTAGGGATTTGAGGCATATCCACTTTATTCTTTCGCTGTATGAAATCAGTGTAAGTACATGAATAACTCTACCTAATTCCGACCACTGCTTATAACAAAACGAGAACTAACTTTATTATCAGGTTTAAAAGTCAATATATCTCAATTTGAAGTTTTAAGCTACGTCACAATTCTGTAGAAAATGCACAGAGGTGTGACGTCATAGCAATAATGTTTAGTGATAGTTTCTTAATATTCTCTCTAGAATACCTGCTACGTCTTAGGGTTATTTAATCCCGAATTCACTCGTGTCACAAATCACTTTTTATTATAGGACAAGGCCGTCAACGAACCGATAAAAATCGACCAGAAAAACCCCAACAATCCTCCAAACAAACAGACAGACAAACTCCAAGAGAAGAACAACCAAAGGCGAACACCGAACTATAGGAAAGTGAACCATCGCAATGACTTCTACGCGAAGAACCAGAGGTATGACAACCGGTTTATGCATAACCGACACCCTTATCATTACTTAGCCACGGGACCTATTAACTAAATCTTAATTAAAATGCAAAACTTTAATTTTTCATCATTAATGATAATTAAATTAATATATAGATGGGAATAGGTAGCCTTTATTTATTTTAACTCTTTGATGACACATGACTTGGAGCCATTATAACCAATTTTCAATACTTATAGCAGCTTATAGACAATGCATATTAATATGATAATATGCATTTATTATTATTCTAAAATAAATTTATAAAATAATCAAGATACATTCAATAAAGTGGTTCTAGAATTTCTCAAGACATTTACAAACCAATATTGGTTAGAACTGCTCTTTGTCATATTTCGTTAAATACAAATATGCTATTCCTATTACTGCTTGTTGGAATTATATCAAATTATTTATTAAAATACTTCTGTTTAGTAATGAAAAAGCCGTTAATTCAGAATTGGTAATCTTGGAATTATTTCTTGACATGGAAACACTGTTGAAATTGTTTACTTATCTAAACATTCGCTTTATAGTATATACAGGGTTATTAGGAAAACCCTAGTAACTTCGCAGGACTAAATCAATGTGGGCCAAATAAAGTAAATAAAAATATAGCACTGTCAAAATGCCATCTTGGTCTTAATTGTGCTTCAACTTCAGGGTGTAAGGTGTGCAAGAAAAAGCATGAAAATATTTTATAAATAAACGTATTATCGTAGTATTATTTACGGATTACGGCACAATGACATTTGTAATTAAATTCGAAGTCATAAAATGGCGACGTGTTTAGGGTGGTCAGCATTAACGTCACGACAAAAAACGTCAACATATTTAGTAATAAACAAAGTGACCAATTAAAAAAAAAAAAAATAATGTTTATTTATTGATTCAAATCTTGTAATAATAAATCCAATAATATAACATATGTATAAAGTTAAATGAATCCAAAAAATATTTACTACATTTTCATTTCTTTGCTGTTAGTATTAGAATGACCCGATCCTATTCTTATTTGGCTCGCGCATTAATAGATGCTGTTTAACCTGATGCAATATTGGATCTGCGATTTTTAACGCGAAATGGTGACGCTTCGCTCACGCACTCTACGTACAACACTATCATGTAGGTGTGCACATGATAGTGTTGTACGTAGAGTTATTAAAATTTGAGCAGAATATTAAATTAAATTTTATTTTTGCATGAAAGTAAAATTTTTAAAAATAGTAAAACTTAATTGTTTATTATGTTGACTCCATAGTCCTGCGACTTTCTTGGTGATCGCCTAGACTAAATTCGACTGTAGATTTGTTTAAAAGTAGTCAATTTATTGATAACTATTTATTATAGCAATTTCTTCAAGTTTGTAATACTGTCATAATCTATTTTTTTTCTTACAACACAGCACAATAACAAAAGAAACAAAATCGTTGATAAACCAGTAACTTAATTTAGCCATAAAAGTTTCAAGATTTCCATTCTGAAATGGTCTTTAAGTCCATGGTAATTAGATAAAGAATGTAATAAGATTGAAATTGTCATTTACCTGCATTTCAATTGGCGGCTTCTAAATCGGAAGTATCTTTGTTAGATGTTCTCAATTTTGGTGTAGCGTTTATAAACACACGAGAGAAACTGCCGATCCTCGCATTATGGACCTTATGTTAATATCTCTAAGGTTAAAATTAGGTGTCGAGTTATATAGCCTTTGCATTTCGAGTCCTGGCTGGATTACAATATTATAACTAAAAATGAGCTATCTGTAGGTTTTTCATAAAAAAATTTAGGCAATGTTGGTTTTTGGGCTATTCAATCAATACCAAATGTTTTATTTTTTGCGAAATATATTTATATCGAATATCAATTTTGAATTAATAACCAAAATGTCTTATCTACTTTCTGAATAATGTCTACCTATCAATATTTACTTTTATAAGTGTATTGTTAAATTATACCATATTGCATACATTGAGTGTTAAAGTCTGATTGTTTGTGTTTATAACACAGTTAAATTAATTTAATTAACAATTTTCATTTCAACTGAAAAACCAACATTGCCTTTTCACAAAACCATATGTTATAGTTCTAAAATTGGGGTCGTTGCAATCCTATAATAATATCATATCAACAATTTAAAAACTATTATAAAATAATAATGCGTATTACACTTTTTAGAATAACTACCATGCATTTACGTAACTCAGATCAGATTATAAAAAGTGTATGCGCAAAAGACATACACAGGTATAACTGAGACCACGATTATTATTATTATAATATATAATTAAAGAATTATATATAAAAATAAATATATAAATATGTTATTCTAGATGTGTTTAGGTTAGTACGTACGCCAGTATCCCGCGTAATTTAATAATCGTGCTTGGCTGGGTTTTTATGTAATAAAAGTATTACGTGTTTCTTGTCTGTTGGCGACGGATAAAGCTAGCGATTAGTACTTGCCAAATTGGTTTGATTGGTGTGAGCGAAATGGTGATTTTGAAATATACTAAGTGACGATACTCGATACTGTATCACGTGATATTTCTCTTAACCCCATTTCGATGGTTATTTAAATTTCGCTTAATAAATAACAAAATGACTGTCACGTAATCGATCACAGTTTCGTATCCTGCTCTTAAGTATCGCGTATCGACATGGTGCGTCTTTATTTGTTCATATTTAAATTGAAAAATATGTGTGTACTAGATGTGTTTGATTTAATAATGTAAATGCAAATTTAATAAAAATTACAGGGTGAAGTGTAATATATTAGTTAACACTTATTAAACGCAGTATAAAAATTCTTACCGTATCTTAACTGGTGGTTTATAAAAAACTCGATTTTTATATATTTCCGAACGATTTATCAGGAAACAAGAAAGATAAAAATATATGTAAACGATGTTGACTTTTAAGTCGAAGCTATTAAGGTATAAGATCTACTTGAAAATTTTGGTAACCCCATGTGCAGCTGTGGACTGTGCTATGAATTTTATATTAGTAATTATAAATTTTATATATCATTGCATAGTTGTTTTGTATAGTATGAACTTGTAATAAAATAAAATTGTGGTACTGTAGAAATTTTTCTACTGTCTTAGGTATGAGAATTCAGCTTCTAGTCATTGCGATACAATAGTAACGATGCCAAGTTACATCGACTGATCCAAACCAAAAGTGATACTTTTAGATGTTTCGCTCACACCAAAATTTTATATGGAACCTCTTATAAAATGTGATGTTTCTATAACTAGTTGACACTATTTTAATATATCACGTTTCGTGCAAATAATAACATAAAAGTATATAAAATGAAGTTATGAACTACTAGCGTATAAGTGTACCAACTTTTTTTTTTATTTATTAAAGGTGAATATTGTTTTTCAATGAATTTTTGTATAGTTAGAGTGATGGTTAGACGGTCGATGGAATTGATTATACTATGGTGTAATGTGTGAACCGCTTGGTTAGATCGAACGGCTAGTTTTCGTCAATTGTTAATTTTAAAATACGTGCAACGTTGTGCGATTTTGAACCTTGTCTCGTGTGGCTACGATCTAATGCGCACTTGTGTTCTTTAGTGAAAATTTGTTACGGCCAAATGTAGGACTAAATTTTTGATAGTCAGTTCCTCACGTCAAATAGATTAGTTTATTTTTTTATAGTCACGGTTTTTGCATGAGAAGGCATTTGCTCATATTTTGAACTCGTTCGAAAACGTCTCCTTCGGAAAACTGCTTGTAATATTTTTTAAACTTTTTAATAGCGTTTTAGTATTAAAAATAATAGTTTGTCTGTGAACCGAATGATGCACAAACATAGCATGTTGAAACCAAATCAGTGTTAGTCTAGATATCTTCCATTCTTAGTTCATGATAGTTTTAAGAGAAACACGTTTGTATTTTCTCGTTTTAACGCTATTCCGAGTTGACGTAATAACATTATTAACCTTCATAGTGGCGGCTTGATCAAAAAGTCGTTAAGGTCTGGTTCGCACCGAACGTTATGACAGTATCTGTCTGTGGACTCTTCACACCAAAAGGATCGGTGATTAATATTTTTAATTTCATTAAGAAAATTGTACCTATTTATTTTATTATCATAAAATATGAAATGAGGTGTGAAAACGGTAAAATATACAATTGCAAAATACTCGTAATTTGCACTTTCAATATTAATGTACGTTCGATGTGAACAGAGCCCAAATATATATATTTTTTTTAATATTCGGTGGGTGTAGTGCCTTTTGTATTGAGACTTGCATGCATTTGAAATCACGTGCAGTTCGTACAAAAATCTAAAATGTAGATGATTATAAAGAATATTTACTTTTAACATAGCATTTTTTTTGCCGATGGTACTGATGGAAAAATTGCATTTTCCGTGCAGCTTAGAAATGCTTTTAGTCGTGGTAATGATTGACGTTAGCAGTATTTGAATAATAGGGGTTGGTGAGTTATTTTCCAATTTACATTATTACTTAGATGTGACACAAAATACTTATTGAGTTTTCATTCAATTACCTCTGCTATCCTAGTTCTTTCATTAATATTAGTATATAGATACCAGCCCCATTCAAGTTAATTCTTCCGATTTTTTATACATTTAAAAGATTTATTAGTACAATCAATTGCACTTAGCATACGAATTTAGTGTTTAGTCAAATTTTATAGTGTGTCCTTCGTTTTAGTAAATAATTTGAACACCTAAAGAATTATACTATCATTAAAATCGCCTATTATAATAGAATTATGTTATAGGTGGCTAAAGTATTTTGGATTAATCCGATTCCATTCAGAAATACATTTTGTTTATTGATTTTAAGGCTCATTTTTCGTTGAAGGAATTGAAACAACTTATAAATACTAAGTAAATAAGCTTGGTGAATTGTAATGCATGTCAGTATATGTATTATGACGTTCACAGTAAGCTTGAAAGTCAGCATTAATTGTCTGTAATCGAAATTATAAAAAAAAAGTAAATTCGTCGTTTTCCGTGTTCAATAACATAATATTAAAACGAAGGATCAAATATGCATCTTGTTCTTACAAAATAAAATATATTTTTAGCACAAAAATGAAGTGTTTAGTTTCTTAGCAAATTTTTGTAGTTAGTTATATTATTATTATGTTTAACTTGTTGACTGAAAACTTGACTCGGTAAATGAAACGAGGTTTTCGTCCGGGTTTTAATGATTACATAATATTAAATATTTATAGTAAATCACTTGATAATTATCGAGAGTGTACGTTTTTACTGGAATAGGTCGTGCTCCAACAAAGAATTCTGATTAGGGGTAAACAGTGATTAACGTGTTTTTTTTTTTTCACTTTAAATATATCTCTTGTTTTTATTAATTTATCAATCCTGTAGCTAGTGATTCTAGAGAAATTTCTCATAAAAATAATACAACAAATTTGAAAATAGAATTGTGTTGGTTCCCATAATTAGTTTTATTTTTGTTTGGCAAAGTCGTTATAATTCATATCGCTTCTAATGGGTTTCACTTTGAGTTAATAACGGCTAAGTAAAAGAGTAATCTATACTCTGAAATCGGATTCGAGATCAAAACCTCATTTAGAGCTTGTAAATGAAACTTGAAGCACTCATAAGTGATAAATTATTTTATATTTAATCGCTCAGCTATTTCTTTGTATCATTGCTATAAATTTAGATAAATAGCGATTTCCTCAAAACTAAACGCTATGGTCTTAATAACGGAGTCCCTTTTCCAGTGTTACAAGTTTCTTTCACTGTCTAATGTTGCCATATATTGTAACTATTACCTCAAAATCTCTGTCTTGTAGATGCTTTACAAAAAACTTATTTTCGCGCAAACTAAGGGTTAAATTAATA